ATCCTTGACAGTTAAACTGAGTCAGGTAGGGAGATGGAGACTCCCGGGTTGGGGCCCCCAGGACTCTAGAAATCGATGGCTGGAGACAATAGGTGACATGGCTCAAAATCGTTGTCAGTGGCGCAGATGTATTCAGTCTCTGTAATCTTTCATATTCCTTTCTACCGTTACCCATTCTGTTTCACTCTTATACTTGTCAAACTCTATTGATTCTCTTCACTCATCTTCTTGTCTACCTCTGTGTGCTATTTGGAACGTGGCAACTCGAACTGGTGCACTTCGGTGCCATGTTCTATGTTGAATCCAGATAGACAGACATGGTCTCTTTTTACTATATCATTGCAAAATACTGTGAATTTAATTCGACATCCTAAAAAGATAAATTATCCATAACAGGAATAAGTCTTTGGTGTGTTTCAATGAATTTCGAAAGTTTGTCAGTAATTTCATCAATTTCTAATTCAGCAAGATGCTGAAGGTTGGAGAGTGAAGATTTTGACTTATTTCCACGTAGTGATTTGTAAAATGATATAGGATAATGTTTATTTTGTATGCATTGTTTTGTTCTTTTTCTTTTGTGGAGTTAGGCAGATAGGGCGTTCATCAAACAATATATATCAAGCTACATTCGATAGCATCTCTCAGCTCTTCTGTACAAATGATAGCATAGAGCCATTCATCTGTCTATAGCGGAATATATAATAGATAATAACCAGACAGCTTCTAGTGTATCCATTAACGTCGTCTACAAGGTTTGATAAAATCTGTCGAAAGCAACAGGAATTCAATTCGTTTTGTATTTTTATTATATGAAATAAATAACGGACTTTGTGCCCTAAACTGACTTGTGAAGTCCATTTCGTTGTTATATGATTCTCAAAACTTTTAATTCTTCTTTATTCACTGCTAAACAATCCCGTTGCGTTGTCACATTCCAAGATTGTATTGGTGACACTTCACTCCTCTTGTTTTCTCATCTTTTTGTAATTTGAATATATTCAAAAAATGTCAAATTTTCGAGTGTAGTTTATCTTCCAGTCACCTATTTACGCATGCCTACTGAACATTCTGGTTATTATTATTATTGTTTCCTTTAGTTCCTAGAAGAACATACGGCTTCAGGTGCACCTCTCCATCGAGTGAGGTTTTCCACCAACGTTTTCAGCCGGATCCACGTCTGCCCACATGCGTTCATCTCCTCCTCATATCACCTCCTCCATATCACTCTCACGCTGACGACCACTTCACTCGACTGATAACCTGGCATGTGACGCCACTTGATGGTTTGTTTTCTCTGAGTATGGCCAATCCACCTCTACTTCTTCCCGCATATTTGTTGCACATTTGGTTCCTGCTGGGTTCTTTCACCCATTTCCAGAGACCCCTCCCTGTATCTGATGTTTTCTGGCCGGACATCTCATCTTGAATAGTACTGAGTGGAAACTGCTATTCATGAAGGTGTTTAGTTTCTTTGAAGTGGCGTTCGATACGCAGCATCGAGTTTTCTGACATGTGTAGAGTAGAACTGACTGACTTCACATTGGAGTTTAAAATTTGGATCTCATTTTTCATGTTGAGTGCTGTCAACCTCCACACAGACTTGGGAGAAATGAAAACTTGCCTCGTTTTCCCAATGCTCACTCTAATATCCTTATTATTTCCGTTAGCCTGTAGTTGAAACGATGCTTCCCAAGTAGATAGGTGGTAAAGGACTTTGCTTCTTTCAGCTTTCTTCAATTTATGCTGGCTGATTGTTGTCTGATTTTGTTGTTGTTGCTGTTGACCATATATCTTCACCGGCTCTTATTTCCGTATGTACACCTGAAGGCCTACCTTCTCTGGATACTTCTTTCGCCAACTTGTTGCTTTCTTGCTTGCATGGACATTTTGTTAGCCCTTATTTATTCTGATGTGCTCAAAAATCGTCTCACAAAATCAGTCAGCAAGAGGCTCATTGCTGCAAAACTACAAATAACTCTCACCAACCATTAGTTGTTCCCCATATCTGTAAAAAATAAGCTCTCCTGTCTGGTCGACTCCCTGTACATTCATCCATCGTCTCATCTGCTCTTGTGGAGCAAGGTACATTGACCACAGCCAGAGGCCACTTCCCACACGGACACGAGGACATATTCCAGCTGCATGGTATTACGCTGTTGAAAAGAAGTGTGTGCGAATCTGTATTCTAGAACACCTGATCAACTTCTGTCACTCTACCAACCGTGACCATGATGTTAAGATCATCTGCTGAATTCTTGCTAAATTGCCATGTTTTATTTGTTCGAAAAATCTGAAATCAGCGTAGGTCTTAGCTATTCATGAATTCACGTCAAATGTTTTTGTACAAATGAAGTATTTACAGTCCCTATTTCTAACTTGGCCATATAGGGATAAACATCTTTTTTCGATTTTGGTTATTTAACTAGTCTATGTACCTTTCAATCATTACTACGATTATAGTTATTATTATTGTTACAATTATTCGTACTATGGACGGTTACAAGTACTACCTCACTTGTCGCACTTGTCATTCTAAATGCAAAACTAAATTGTTTTTTGCAATGTTGAGTTCTATCTTATCAAATTTCTCGGGTAACGCTTTATATTTTCCTACTGATTCAATGACTACACACAGGTGTACAACACCTATACATCCTATGAACTATTCTATGTGTATGAGATTATTTGTTTTCACTCTCGACACGTGATATATTTAATTGTGATTATAATCATGAATATTTTAATTGCATCTCATACTACTATTATTATTCTGTATACGCACACCCTTGTTTCAATTTCCTCACGGGATATAATTTGTTAAAATCCATAAATATATATACATATATGTATATATATACAAATACCACTGTACAGCTTGATAATAAATTCGTCGAAAAGAGCCTCTTCGCAGAATATTATGTTCTTTGTTCATTCTTTACTATGAATAACCAAGTGATGATTTGTGATCCCCTACGCCAATATTGCTGCGCTTACGTATTTCCACTTATTGTCAAATTTTAGCACACAAACACACTGATATAACAGAACCTACTCATTATTGTCCAATGTAATTCATTTTTAAAAACGATTGTACAGCTCTGTTAACTAAAGCCGTATTAAAACTGACTGATCGGTACGGCAACTACATTTAAGATAAAACCTTGAACTACAACATGATTTTCCCCCGGACGAATTTTCTCAGAATAACGGTGCATGTCTCTATCATCACATCAGTAAAAAATATTTTACTACCAACTTACTGTTAGGTGGATAAGTCAAAAAGATTAGTTTGAGGATTTCATCATGAGCTGACATCAGTTACGGAACCATTGGAAAACCAGCTGTGATTACTAGATAGCTGTTTCTTCAGTTCTAGTTTGGGACTCTTCATCAGTACGCATCCACCACCAGGATTCGACTTCGGGACCTTCTAGGGTCAAGGCGAGCTATCTCGTAGAGCATTCACCAACTGAGACCTGATCCAATGGCGAGCCAGTGCGTGAATTCTAACTTCTGCCAATTGACTTAACACAGTGCGACCACTTCGCAATGTCTTCTTTGATGAATTATAGCCTCACCTTCAACCTACTGTACCCTAATGGTCACGGATTACCACTAGAACTAGGTGACTGACGAAGAACTGCGTAATTTTCGAGGAACCTAGATGGAAAAATGTCTTCCGCCTACGTTCATAGTAAGGAATCTAAAATCAAAGAAGCCTTCCAAACAAGTTCAATCTGTTCCGAAGAAGACACTTCTGCTTAATCTAGAATTCAAAGGTGACATTGAAGCAGAAATCCTTCGTAAACGTCTCTCCAAATCTCTGAGGAAAACATACTTTGCCATATGCCTACGACTGACGTTTTCCTACAAGAAACTGTTCAACCAGAACGCGAAAGACAAGCTGTCGCATTGGGCCACTTCAACGTGCATATACCTATACGCCGGCCGTGCCATAAGCCAATTTGAAAGACGCGTTCGTTAACACTATCCATCCTGGCTAGTAAAAGGAGAACGAAAACGTGTATATAGTTCAGTGACAGAAGTTCTGGTCAATTGATGACATTCAGCACCATTCGAAAAAGCCTCCAAAATCATATACAAGATTCGATGAAACGTATCAAAGGGAGTTAAATCAAGACATCTGGGCATAGTCGAGGCACCAGCCATCCAGTATCTCAAACTCACGCTATGTATCTAAAATGAATACGTCCAACCCTTGTCCCTGATATGGCCATCATAAACAGGTAGTTCCTTTAGTAGTGACTATCCCATTGCCTTCCTTATCGAAACTTCCTGTGTATTCACGTTATTTTTAAGTTTTCCTAATCTCTATTTACACTATCATATTTTCACATCCGAACTTCCTGTCAACTTTGTCATTTTATTATTCCTATATATTTAATCCCTAATTGCATAAATAATTATTCATCACATTAGTAATGATCCGATGAGATTTTTCATTCAAGCATCCTGTCTATTTTGTTATTTCTACATTTCTAATCCCTAATTGCACAATATGTCAATCTTCTCAATTATTATGATGCTAATTTGTTTGAGTTTTATCCGTGCCCCCTCCTTGTTTATTATGGTATTTTAATTCCTAATTGTAATGTTATTAATCTGACCCTTGACTGGAAATTCTTGTGGAACTTTCCCACCCATTTATCAATATAAATACACGAATGTACAGCCTAGTTGATTACTTCGTCGAAAAGCAGATTTTCTTCGCTGCAACTGTATTTTATAATCACTATTCTTGAAGTATTGGTATTTTGTAGGGATTCTGTTTGACTGATCGGAAGCTCAGTGACTTAATGGTCTACAAGCTCACTAGTCTTGCAACCAGAAGTTCCTGGGCTCGAACCGTCGTGATGGGCGCGTACTGATGAAGAGTCCTGAACTAAGACGGTGGACTCCCAGCTGGTTTTCCAATAGTTCTCTAACTGATATCAGCTCCTAATGAAATCCTCTAACCATTTAGTATAAAAATAATTTATGCCTTTTGAAGAATTTTTTTAATTTTACGCTTTGATATGTACAGTAATAATCACAGTAGAGGTAGAGAGGAAAAACGGTAAGAGTGATACATGCATCTGAAAGGGTGTGTGCGTCTGAGGGAGGGGGGTAAGTGAATGGAATATCAGTGAATATACATTTTGAGACGATGCTATATTGCAAGAAACAATAAAAGCTGTGAATGTATTCTTAAATTTCAGCATGTCTGACGCACACACATACATACACATAGACAACGGTTGAACAAAAGATTAAGACATATACAACATGTAGATGTTTGCACAGACAAGTGTGTGTGTGTGTGTGGGAGAGAGCATATATTATGTACTGTTGAAGACATAAACAACACAGCGCCAGTTTATTTTGTACTTTTATTTACACTTTCATAATCTTTATGCCATGGTACACGACCAAGTGCTAGATGAATAGGTGCATCTCCGAAATGCTTTAAATTATCCAATCCATATTGATGACGTCGTTCACGATTGTAGTGCCATGCACACAAAATTTTAGCACAAGCGATGCGAAATTTGTTGTTCAACAGGGAATAGACGACAGAGTTTAAACAAGCGTTAAAATAACCAAGCCACGTTGCTGCAAAGATTGTTTCTTCTAAAGAACAAAATGAAGAGAAAGCGGGAAATTCAGCGATATTAAATTAATTTATAGATAAAGAAATTAACAAGAAAAAAAATCCCAAAAGACTGACTGCGATACAATCACCAGTATACGTAGTCCTAGACGTCCTTATAAATGGAAAACAGGACAATACGTTAACCGATCAGCTTCATATCTTTAAAATATAAACGAAATCTAATAAAATGTTTGGTCTACAAAGCAAGAACAATATGCTCTGATGAATGTATTTTAAAAATACTTCAGCGTTATTAAACAGTTACTGAGGGAAAAGGGTTACCTAGGGAAATTTATCGACAAAATTATAAACTTAAATCCAAGGCAAGCCAAGATATTAACACTTATTCTTACAGTTTTAGCTGCTAAGTGATAATGCCAGTGAGATAAAAGCCGAAATGCTTAAGGGATGAGGTAAAAAATTCATTGTCTCTGAAATACACTGTCACGTCAAAACAACCCCAAATCGCTCCCGGGGGTTAAAGGTAAACTAACCAATTTTGCCTGTTCTATGTTTATCTACCGATTCGACTACTCCTGCGGAGCCAGTTACATAGGCCGTGTAATTGGGCACGTTTGTCGTCTGATTTCCAACAAAGTTCATTCAAGGAGCTATTCTATCTTATCTCGTGGATACAGAACACAAAATTGATGTTAACGAGGTAACTTTCAAAGTCATCTACTGCATATCAACTGGTTCTGACTTTACCTTAAGAGTTCGTCTATCATATACTGCTGGAGGCCGTTGGGATCCACATTAAGAAACCTAACTAGTGTACCTAAAAGAAGTTGGTTCAGACACTGTCCTTATGCCATCGGCCATTAAAGTTTTTATATGATCCTCAATTTGATTTGGAAATTTTCTTAATTTTATTTGATATTCTATATACTATTACCCTTTAATGCTTATTATAATTTATGCATCTTTAGTGAAGTGTAATTCCATTAATCTTACTTAACAAATCAGTATTATTTTAAAGAAAAATAATTTATAAAGTTATATTTATAAAATCTCAGCAAAATTGAAATGATAAATTCCAACGTTTCTTTCGGCAAACTGGTTCGAACTTCTTCAGGAAAATTAATCGAAATTAACATAACAGAGGTTTATATATAAAAGGAACATCTCTTGTTTTTAAACCTCTGTTATGTTAATTTCGATTAATTCCCCTGAAGAAGTTCGGACCAGTTTGCCAAACGAAACGTTGGAATTAATCATTTCAATTTCGCTGAGATTTTACAAGTATAATTTTATAAATGTCTACATCTCACTCGGCGCTCAATTATTTTTCAACTATCCTGTCAAATCTTGATGACAGTTCATACAAAACATAAATAATGTTAATGATAATTCTTCAAGAATATTTTTTCATACAAATACACATGCATATATATATATAATTGTACAGTCCGAAGATAGGTTTGTCGAGAAGAATATTCTTTGCACGAACTGTATCATGCCTTCTAAGCTTTTCGTCGATTAGTCACAATGGTGGAATAAATGTGATGCATGTAGTTCTTAGTGTTGGCGTAGACTAAACTCTATCAGTCAGTTTTGCAGTGTGATTAGCAAGCTCACTATAGAGGTAAACCTTGGATACACGTTAGTTGTTTGAAGGTAGACCGTAAAAAACCCTGTATTACGGGTTAACACTTGCCTGCAAGACGTGTCTACAACCTTGATGGGAGTCAAATTCCATCTGAGATTCAAACCCACGTCAGACAGTGCTGAGCTTTGTAGAAATGGATCCTATTTTGTTTTTTTCTCAAAAGAATATTCAGGGAGTACTGTAACGGAAGGTTGAATTCGAGTTGGATAAACTGGACTGTATTTCTACTGTAAGCGTAACAACTGGAATTAAGGTTACTAGGAGAACAGTACAAACCTACCACTTCATTATGTAGACAGTTTCCTGATTAAAAAATGAGCAGCAGTCAGACACATTTATAGTTGTGTTATGGTTGACCTGTAGGTCGGATAAAACCAATCTACAGGCATTTGACTCAGGTGTTGTTTTTTGCAAGTTGATTAGAGATTAATATCAGAGTGTGGTGAGAGCTGGCTACTAGCCAAAATTGGTGGACAGTAATTTACGTCAATGTTCATGTTCCCAATATTGGTCGTTAGAAAAATATGAACACAGACTGATTCAAGAATTAACCAACCACATACGCTTTGCGTAGGTGGATGCAGTCAACATATAGATGACCTGACATTCAAGAAACAGTCACAAAGAGATGCAAGGTTTATTTTCAGTGAGAAACAACCAATCACAAGACTGTATTTTTCTGCTAACAATAACCTATAATATGTACATGAAAATCTAAAAATATGTGTTGATTTCCTTAATAAACGATCTATTTCCTGGCCTTAGTCTTCTGTTGTTACAAGAGAACCATCGAAAACCAGATAGCTGTTTCATCCTAGTTTGAAAATCATCGGATGTACGCAGCCACCACCAGGATTCGAAACCAGAACCTTCCGGTTACAAGACAAGCTCGTATACCATTCAGCCACTCGGACCCGCTCCAATGGCCATCCCTTGAATTCTAACTTCCAATAATTCGTGATTTAGTGCGACTCCAACCATTGTCGTAGGTGGGACATCCATCCTCACACGTGACATCTAATTGGACCTCACTGGTCACGACTTCTCACTAGAACTCCAGGAAACTTCGTCCTGTAGCAAGTCACTAGCGAGCATCAGATTAACTTTCTATAGATTGGTTTGTAAGGGTTAGTTTAGTTTTTACGTGCTGATCACGGATTGATATCAGTTAAAGAACCATTGAACACCAGCAGAGAGTACTTGACAGCTATTTCATCCGTCCTGTTTTGAGAATCATCGACAGTATGCACCCACCACCAAGGTTCGAAACCAGGACCTTCTGGTAGTAAGGCAAGCTCGTATACCATTCAGCCACTGGGACTCAACTCCTCAGTGGCCAGTGCATGAATTCTAACTTCTACCAATTTGTCATCCACGTGACATCTATCCCCACACATGACATGAGAAGTCGTGACCGGTGAGATCCATCCAGATGTCACATATGAGAATGGACGTCCCGCCTATCACAGTGGTTGGCGGTCGCGCTAAATCACGACTCGTCGGAAGTCAGAATTCATGGGGTGGCCACGGAATCGGGTCCCAATGAGTGTCTTAATGGTCTACAAGCTAGCTCACCTTGTAACCAGAAGATCCTGGGTTCGAACCATTGCGATGACTGCATACTACCGATGATATTCAAACTAAAAATGGAACAGCTGTTTTTAATGGTTCTCCAACTGATATTAATCCGTGATCAGCTCGTAAAAAAGACAAATCTAATCCTTAAAAATAAAGTCTCAAAAATCTGATATTCCTTCGAAAATCTCTGCTTCTTCACACTTGTGAGCAACAGAATCTGAGAAATATCAAGAGCTCTTATGAGAAGCAGCACACAAGATGACGCCTAGGCTGCGATTAGTTAAACTGTTGAAACTCACTCAAGATCGGATCACAGGATAAGTGGACTGCTTACAATTTCGGCTACAATAACCTTCAACATTATATCGTCTATAATTCCTCTCATTCAGTTTGGTTTAATCTATGGTATTGTTTACTATCGCCAGCATTTCAAACCTTTACAGATTTCTGATTCATAAGTTTCTAATAAAATTTGGAAAATTGAGACAGCGTATCGTACCGTGTGAGAGATAACTGATGCTGAGATTTTTGGTATAAACTGTCACTGCCCGAGAAATGAAACTAACTATCTGCAATCTCCGGCTACTCAGTTATACCCTTGAATCATTGAATTTACTCCTTCATTCCTCCTTACCACGTCAGGTAGATGCTCGCCACCCATGCGTGTGGTCCAGGGTTCGATCCTCGACCAATGCCGCACTCCTTTACCTCGCTTAGCCAGTAGTAAGGCTGGTAAAGAAGGAAGCCTTGGCAGGAAGCTAGCAAACCTATCCCGTAAAAATAAATACCACTGCTACCTAGGCTTCAAGTCTCTGGTTTGAAATCGCATGTTCCAGCACTACGAACGTGAACGAATGAAAAAATTCCTCTTAATCGGTTTTCAAATTAATGTCGCTCACTTCTCGTAGGAGGAGACAAAAGAGAAATATCATAAGGAATTGGTTTGCACTTCAAGTGAGACATCCCTATGTCACATCATCTTGGGCTGATTACTACTTTACGTGAAGATCCTTGAAGAAGTGAAAATATTAGACAATAAATTCTGCTGAAGATTCTCTACATAGTATGAACACCATCCAGATTAGAACCATTATGATTTTTGAAAATTTATAAAATATTTTTGCTGAAGAAATAATCTTTATGCTTTAATAACAAAAATACTCATCGAGAGTGCATTTGTGATTAGAGAAAGAGTAGAATTTGGGTAGTGTGATTATGTATAACTACAAATTAGACGAGCCTATTTCAAATGGCACACAGAGATACAATCTACTAAAAATTGTATGGCGTTTAAAACACGATTTACTGCTTATAATCATATGAAATTAACCTGTCATTTAGGCAATAGAAACTGTCTCTCTGAATGAGTAGAAATATATGAGTTTAGTGCGTGCGAATAAACTACAAGACTGAAAAACCAAGGTAATTAAATAAACTCTGGAAAATAATAAACCAATTAATGCAGCTCTGAGCGCATTTTGAAGCCCGCAGAAGAGTAATTCTAATTTCCTATAGTTTGGTTTTTAAGAGTTAGTTTTGGCGTTTACCAGTTGATCACGGATTGATTTGAGTTAGAGAACCATTGAAAACCAGCACTGTAGTACTGGACAGCTGTTTTATCCTAGTTTGAAAATCATCGGTAGTATGCACTGACCACCATGGTTCGAACCCAGGATCTTCTGGTTACAAGGTGAGCTAGCTCGTAGGACATTAAGCCACTCGCTGAGATCCGATTCAATGGCAACCCCATGAATTCTAACTTTCAACAATTCGTGATTTAGCGCGATCCCA